CCCCTGGGGGTCGCCAGCCGGCATTGACTGGCCGACAGCACCCTAAGGAGGCCCTCTCTGTGGGAGCGGACTGGTTGAAGGGAGGTATTTGGTAGGAGGTGGTCTTGCAAATACCTAGGTCCATTGCCATGGAGCGCTTTAAAGGTTGTTACTAACACCTTGAAGCGCACCCAGAAGGCCACAGGCAGCCAGTGCAGCTCGCGCAGGAGAGGTGTTACATGGGAGTATCTAGAGGCCCCCAAAATCCCCCGCGCGGCCGCATTCTGAACTAGCTGGAGCCTCCAGGTGCACCTCAAGGGGAGCCCCATCTAGAGAGCGTTGCAATAGTCCAGGCGGGAAACAACGAGGGCTTGAGTGACCGTGCGTAGGGCGTCACGATCCAGAAAGGGGCGCAACTGGCGTATCAGGCGAGCCTGATGAAAAGCCCCCCTGTCCACGGCCGTCACATGATCGTCTAAAGACGGGCCGAGCATCCAGGAGGACGCCCAGGTTGCGGGCCCTCTCCGTGGGAGCTGACTCGCCCCCGATAGCCAGAGATGGAGCCAACTGGCTATGTCGTGACGCCGGAAACCACAGCCACTCGGTCTTGGACGGGTTGAGTCGAAGCCTGTTCCTCCCCCATCCAGACTCGCACGGCCTCCAGGCACCGGGACATCATTGTAGTTTGGGCACTCAGTCTCTAAAAGGTTCGCCATCACTGCTCTATAGTACTGTGCTGTATTGTTTATAATTACTTTGGGAACTGTTCTGCTTTTTATTGTTTTGGAAGTACAGTACTTTGCAAGATTGATTGTTTGCATTTGCCTGAAACTTATAGCATGTGGCTGCTGCTGCTCCTTTCCCTAGCATAGACCCACCGGAGATACTGCTAACACTTACTGGAAGGAAATCCCCCCCCCCCCCCCCCCCCCATTTTGGATTTTGGCTGGAGAGGCTTGTCCTGATAAAGAGCAGTGGTTTTTTTTTTAAGGTTTTAAATTTAAATTGCCTCCAGAGGTTGTGTGTGTTCCCTCACTGAAGGCTTTTAAGAAGAGTCTGGATAGGCATTTATCAGAAATACAGTACAGTACTGTACTCTCTTGTGAGAGCAGTGGGTTAGACTAGATGACCTCAAGGTCCCTTCCATCTCAGTTACTGTTGCAAGCCAACAGTTCTGTAAACTCCACCCCCATCTCTCTCTGCATGCCTGGCTGGAGGCCATAAAAAGGCAAAAAAATGATAAGACCCCCGGCCCAGATGGATTACCTGCTGAGCTCTACAAATCATTACAAGATATACTAAGCCCAATATTGAAAGAACTATGTAATGAAATACTTTTGGAGGCTAAAATACCAAATACATGGACTGAAGCTAACATTACCATAATACCCAAAGAAGATTCTGACTTGACACAAATAAAAAATTACAGACCAATATCGTTATTAAATGTAGACTACAAAATTTTTGCTTCAATAATAGTAGAAAGACTAAAGAAATTTCTGACCAAATTTATACATACAGACCAAAATGGCTTTCTACCTAAAAGACAGATAAAAAATAACTTAAGATGATCCTAGATGTTTTAGAGTACTATGAAATTCATCCAGGGAAACAGATGGCTTTAATATTTCTAGATGCACAGAAAGCGTTTGACAACATAAACTGGCAATTTATGTTCCAGCAATTAGAGGAAATGGACTTTGGAGAAAATTTTACAAACGTAATCAAAACAATTTATCATAAACAAACAACCAAAGTAATTGTAAATGGAGATTTTACAGAAAACTTTGACATTAAAAAAGGCACAAGATAGGGGTGTCCACTATCTCCACTATTATTTATATTAACACTGGAAGTATTGAATAGAAATATCAGGCAAGATACAGAAATTAAAGGACTGGAGATAAAAAATGAAAAATACAAAACTACAAGCATTTGCAGATGACTTGGTTTTCATATTAGAAGAACCGCTTGAAACAAGCGTTAAGCTTATGGAGAAAATAGAAGAATTTGGAGAAGTGGCAGGGTTGAAAATAAACAAAAGACTAAAGTACTAACTAAAAACTGAACAGAAAAAAAAATCAACTAGCAAAAAAAACCCTTCAGATAGTCAAAAAAGTTAAATATTTGGGAATTTATTTAATAGCAAGATGTGCAACAATAAAAGAAGACAACTATGTAAGATTGTTAAAACAAATAAAATTGGATCTGGAAAAGTGGAAAAATTTACAACTTTCAATGCTGGGGAGAATAGCAACAGTGAAAATGAATATCTTACCAAAAATACTCTTTTTATTTCAAATGATACCTATAAGACTGGGAAAAACCTTTTTTGATGAACTAAATACACCAATACTGAAATTTATCTGGCAAGGAAAAAAAGCTAGAATTAGACTGAAAATGTTACAAGAAGCTGGAGGGCTTGGATTGCCGGATTGGATGCTATACTACCAAGCAACTATATTAACATGGCTAAAAGAGTGGATAATGCTTAGAGATAAAAGACTATTATACCTAGAGGGGCATGACCTACAACTTGGATGGCATGCCTTTCTGTGGTATGGGAAGAATAAAATACATAGATATTTTCAAAACCACTTTATAAGAAATGCACTTCTTCTAGAATGGGAAAAAATAAAAGCGAAAATCTATATTAAAATACCTGGATGGCTTTCAATAATGGAAGCATTTGCTTACCCAAATTTAATCAACTACGAGAAAGTTGTGACCTATAAACACATTTCAGACAGTGAAGGGAAATTGAAAGACAGACAAGATTTACAAGAACAAGGTATTGAATTATCATGGTGGCCATACTTGCAAATTCAAACGAGACATGAAAAAGATGCTAAAACAACGGGATTTTATAAATGTTTGGAACGTGGCTCAAGATCCCAAAACAAACAAATTCTCAGGAAACCGACAAAATTGACGTGGTGCCTGTCCCCTTAGGGGTGGCCACTCCCGGGGATCCGGGGACCGTTTGGATATCCCGGATGAGCCCTCAAGTTGCTTGGAACGTGGCTCAAGATCCCAAAACAAACAAATTCTCTTGAAATTCCAGCAACAAAGTTTTATTCAAAAAGAAGTGTTTGCAAAGGCCTGGTGAGCTGAAACACATGCAGGAGTTCAGCCACACCTTAAAGAGCTGTTTGACACATTTTTATATCCTACCCCTGACGCAGATTCCCCCCTCCCCTATCGCACTCAACGCCCCTTCCCTAATCATCCGATAAACTATCCGGACCGCCTAAAACCACTGTCCCTCCCATGTTCCACTGTCCCTTTGTGCACATCCTATCTATCACCATCTAATTTTCTGTTAACAAAGCTCGGCTCCTATAGTTATTTCTGTATTTCCTCTGCTTGCGGTTTAGGTTAGCTAGCAACTTCTGCTTTTCTTATTTGTATATAGTTTACTTGTCTGACTTTATGACTTTCAGGTGGCTTCTTCTATCAACCTTCATTAGAAATTTCTGAGTAATACTTTATTCCTTTCATAAAGAACAGACAGAATTTGATCAGATACTGTTAAAAACAGATGAAAAATTGATTAAGAAACTCTATAAATATTTGTTAAACTTAAAGATGGAAGAGGAACAAGTAAAAAAAACAATGATAACATGGGCAAAGAACTTGGGATATAATATAGAATTAGAAAACTGGCAAAGATTATGGGAAAGAAATGTTAAATTAATGAAAGTGGTGGCTTACAAAGAAAACTTACACAAAATGTTTTACAGGTGGCATCTAACACTGGTGAGATTAGCGAAAATGTTCAAAAATACATCAAATAAGTGTTGGAAATGTAAACAAAAACCAGGTACTTATTATCATATCTGGTGGACATGCCCTAAAGCTAAAAGGTTTTGGTCAAAAATACACATATGGTTGGAAAAAATGACTAAAAAACATATAGATTTCAAGCCAGAACTGTTTCTGTTAGGCATAATAGGAGAAAACTACCAGAAAGATTGTATATATTTAATTTTACATGTATTGACTGCAGCAAGAATTGTATTTGCCCCATACTGGAAAAATGAAAACTTACCAATGGAAGAAGAACTAATTAAGAAAATTTTAGATTGTGCAGAAATCGACAGATTGACATTGAAGATAAAAGAGAAAGAAGACTCAGTGTACTTTAGAACATGGGACAATTTTTACCAATGGTTAGAAAAGCGAGTTAGAGAGAAAGAAACATGATATATACTATGTACCATTGAATATATACTAGTAAGAAAAAGACTATTGAGTGATTAACTAACATATTGACTATGATAATATAGAAATTAACTCTTATTGTTTTTTAAATACATGAATCCAGACAATATGCTGTTTGCTAAATATTAAGAATGTTATTTTTTTAAAAAAAAAACCAACCCTAATCCTAACCCTAACCTTAACCCTAACCCTAACCCTAACCCTAACCCTACTTGCCAGCACCAGGTATAGAAGAGCTGTTCTTACTGGGCGATTTTGGAGATGGACCTAGGAAGATCCTAATATTAGGCAGAAGTACTTGGCTTTACATTCTGCAGTCATCTGTCACCTGGTATATGGATGGGACTTTTGCAATTGCTCCCAATCTGTTTGCTCAGGTTTACAGTGCATTCAAAAAGTATTCAGACCTCCTTTACTTTTGTCAATTTTTTTATGCTGCAGCCTGATTTTACAGTTGTTGAAATTCATTTTTTCTCATTAATCTACACTCAGTCCCCCATAATGACAAAGTGAAAAGAAAGAACAAAAAACTGCTACAGTTCTTGAGATTCTGTACAGGTTACTAGAGTTTGCCCTGCTGGTAGATGGGTGTATGCAAGCAATATGATTGTTTCAGAGGCAGGATGGCTTGTTCACAATATTTTCCAGCTCTGAGCATTTGGTTATTCCTTCAGTTTTTCTGACAGTGTTGATCCCCTACTGGAATCTTGATGCATTAGCATTATGGGCGATGAAGGAGCAGGAAGCATGTATTTCACAACTTGTGACTCTTCTCTGATCTCCTCCTTTGCTTGAAGGTCTCTTCGCTGCCCCCAGCACACTGATGAACAGCGGAAGTCAGTCAGGATCTACCTCCTGGGATCCTCTGCGTAAGTGTAATGGGATGGAAGGAATGCAGGAGAAAAACTGTTTTACTCCAAAATATATTTCATGTGTTTCATACTGTTTAGCTGTATGAATGTTGCTGAATTTTGCTAACTTTCAATAATTTACTGTATTGCAAACTATCATTTATACACTTCTGAGTCCCAGAAAACCTAACTTAGACTTTTTTTTTTAACTTTTTAGACTTAGGCATATCTCATCCAGAGGTTTTCAAGCATATCTTTCTGGGTTAGAAATCCAGTCTTATATTACACACATTCTGCACTGACGGAATCTACATTTGTAGGATTTTACTTTTTTTTAGTTATAAGTGAATGCTCTGCATAGCTATTGCTGCAGTTAAGATGATTGACCTTGCTCTTTTCCCCTTCTCATATATTTCTTCCTTTGCTTAGCTCACTTCCCGAGACAGAAAGCAATGTGGAAAATGATAGCTTTGATGCAATAGAGTGTCCAGCCCTCATGAGTCGGCTTCAATGGGATGGTTCTTCAGCTATCTCTCCCTCTGATTCAGCTTCATCAAAAGCAAGTAAGAAAGTGTATGTCTGCTTGAGGAAGAGAGCAGGCTGAGGTGATAATGCCTTGCATCTTAAGTACTGGGAAAATGTACCCCAAGATAACTTTTAACTGTGAAACTGGGGGTGGGGATGGGATATTTGTATCTTTTTTTTTCATAGCACATTCTACTAATCAACATGGAAGGGGCAAGGGCACCAAGCATTATCACTTAGGATGTCTGGTTTATCTTGTTCATACCTACCCACATGTCTGTGGAGATTCTCAATCATCCAGGTCATAGTTGTCCAAAATGTGATTTTTGAAAAGGCAACTGGACTTCGTTTTACCCTTGAAGACATTTCACTTCTCATCCAAGAAGCTTCTTAAGTTCTGACTGAATGGTGGAGGATGGAAGGATTTATATTCCTTGCAAGTCATCTGGTTGTTAGCACTCTTTCTGAGAGTCGTTGAGGCCACTTGGGGGTTTATCTGTGCAAACGCATGGCACAACATAGGAGAACAAACCCATCAGGACAAGATTCAGCAGTCCATCTTCATTTGAAAGACAGAGGTCACTCTTTTGAAGACAGCAAAGTCCACATTCTGGACAGAGATGACTGCTGGTTTGAAAGAGGGGTCAAAGGGGCCATCTATGTCAAAATTGAACAGCCCTCTCTCAACAGCCCTCTCTCAACAACAACACCTATCTCCTCTTTACAACACAGTTCTTTCAGCAGTTCCAAGAAGGTTGCACACTCACTTGCACTATTCAGGTGACCCTGAGGGCACAGATAAATCTCCAAGTGGCCTCAATGACTCTCAGAAAGAGTGCTAACGACCAGATGACTGCAAAGAATATAAATCTTTCCAACCCCCACCATTCAGTCAGAACTGAAGAAGCTTCTTGGATGAGAAGCGAAATGTCTTCAAGGGAAAAAGAATATAAAAGGAAAAAAGAATGACATTGCTATAGGAGTATACTACAGGCCACCCAACCAAGCAGAAGACATAGATGAACTCTTTGCTAATCAATTAACAAATGTATGTAGGAAACATACCACAGTAGTAATGGGAGACTTTAACTACCCTGATATCAACTGGGAGACAAACTCTGCAGCAAGTGGGAGATTGAACAGATTCCTAACCAACTTAGCTGACAACTTTGTCACCCAAAAGGTAGAGGAAGGAACTAGAGGAAAAGCTATACTAGACCTAATTCTTACTAATAGAGAAGAAGTGATAGAGGGAGTTGAAATTGTGGGAACAAGAGTGACGATATAATATTGGAATTCAATATAATGCAAACACAAGCAATAGAATATAATCATAAACTTTAAAAGAGCTGATTTTAACAAACTCAGAGTGAGTCTAAGCAAAATTTCATGGATAAAAATCTCTCTGATAAACTGAAAGACAAAAAGGATAAGTACAAAAAATGGAAAGAGGGACACATAACTAAGGCAGAGTATCAGCAAATAGCTCGAATCTGCAAAGATGAAGTCAGGAAATCAAAGGCTCAGAATGAACAAAGACTTGCAACAAAAGTCAAAGATAATAAAAGGTTTATTTCAACATATTAATAACAAGAAAAAAGTCAAGGAAACAGTAGGTCCACTAAAGAGAGAAGATGGCAAGGAAGTAACAGGCAGTACAGAGAAAGCAGAGCTGTTTCACTCATTCTTTGCATCAGTCTTCACACAAAAAGAAATTATAGCACAACATACCCCAAAAAAATACTGCAAAAGACAAACTAGAAACAACGAATCAGCGAACACCTAGAGGCAAACAAAGTCATTACTAAAAGCCAACACGGGTTTGTCAAAAACAGATCATGCCAGACAAACCTTATTGCATTCTTTGACCAAGTGACAAAATTAGTGGACCAGAGGAATGCTGTGGATATAATTTACTTGGACTTCAGTAAGGCATTTGACAAAGTAGATCACAACCTACTACTTGATAAGATAGA